TCAGGAAGACACTATGTTTGCATACAAGTATTTGTATAGCACATGTTTGCTATAGAAACTGGTGTGATTTCTAAAACTGGCTGAAATCCTCAGTTTATTCCTGGACTGTGTGTGGACTGCTCCCTGCGTAAGATTATAAACACTGAGTATTTTTTTACCTTAAAGGGACACTAGAGTCACCAGAACAACTACAGCTTAATGTAGTTGTTCTGGTGAGTATAATCATTATATGCAGGCATTTCCATGCAACACTGCCTTTTTAGGCAGGGACACCTTCAAGTGTGGGGATCCAGTATGCAGAACCTTGTGGGAATTTTACCTACCTGATCTCATCTACATTTATCCAAAGGCGCTGTTGGTCTGTAAAGTGGCTCAGCAATATGTGAGTGGGACCGATTTGTATTAATTTGCATTACAATGAATCAGATTTCACTATGGACAATTTTCTGTTTATATCTTAGGTTTTAGTTGATGGTAAAGTTGCATGTGTGTGTGTACTTTTTATTTACACTGTTTTATCTTGTCATTGCAATTTTATTAGATACCACTGTATGTGTACTGACTACATATACTTATTGTACACCTATCAGTGTGCTCTCACCATTTTATTTTGTTTTTCCCTATGGGAAAGCATTGGATTGGCTAAAGATCGTAAATTCTGATGATGTAACCAAGGAGGTGGATCGGGGGCAGGGCCAACATCGGTGCTGGAAATAGGGTGAGTTTTAACATTTTCTAAGTGGACCAAGGGGAGGGGGGCAAGCCACCTTAATGTTGGATTAAACACTATAGGGTCAGGAATACATGTTTGTGTTCCTGACCCTATAGTGTTCCCTTAATATTTTATTGTGTTATTTCTTTTCTGCATGTTTTTTCATGCATTATGTATGTAATGCATTCAAAGGGCAACTCCCATGGGGAACCACAGATATAGTCTTTAATGAAAATTAACTTTACTTGTGATCCTCTTGTACTATAGAATTGCACAAATGTGCTTAGGATATGTAAGTCTGTCAGAGCTGATATCCTCACTATTCACTAGATAGTCTCATATGCCGATTACCAACGGGCAAACGGATACAATTTTATTGAAGAGGAGGATCATGGGAAAGTTCATTCATTTGCATAAAATGCCTTGTCTGTGCCTATTTTTAGAATGTAATCATGATGTCAAAATGCGTTTTGCCTAATACCTAAAAACTGCAGAGATGCGATTCACTCATTCCTTACAGGGGTCTAAACATCCCATTACTTTAGCAGAACACTAGAGCCTGAGTAGTCAACCTTCAGCACTCCAGATGTTGTGCACTGCACCCCCCATCATGCTCTTACAGCCATAATGTTTGCAAAGCATCAGGGGAGATGTAGTCCATGACATCTAAAGTGCCGAAGGCTGTCTACCACTAGTCTAAGATATTGGTTCTGGATCCTTGCCTTAAACGGTTAAAAATCCAGCTGTTCATTTAATTATTTAGGGTCTCTCGTACCCCATTACATTGTTACTTCAAAGAAAATTGATTATTTTTCTATTCATCTGTCTTTTCATCTCCAAATTATTCTGTCTTAACACCAGGTGGCAGAATTTCTGATTTAAAATTTCTGTGATGCAAAGGAACACTGCGATAATTTTCCTTAAGCAAAATACTTACTAGTTGATGATTGTATTGTATTAGTGTGCGTTTGTTTTGGTGGGTGGGGTATTTACACTCTGTGTAGGGTCACTTGTGACATTGAATGTCTATAGTGACACTCCGTGTCTGAGAAGGGAGAGAAAAGGATAGCTTTCCAGAAATTAATATATTTTATCTGATTCTCAGCCGATACCATCACCGTGAGGATCAAACAGGAAATTAACCTTCTCTGAATAAAAAAAAAACAAAAACAAAAAAAACCCAAACCACATAGAGGCGTTCTGAAACATCAGTCATGATACACCTTGTACCTTATTATAAGGGCACAGATAGGATTGATTTACTAAAACGGAAATAGCATAGAATTGACATGGGAAATGCAAATTTTAGACCAAAACAGTTAAAAAGGAAAAACGTTTGAGCTGTAGAATGCGTTGTTTGCTTTGGTCTGAGCTCTGTAATTCCCTTGTGAATTATACACAATTCCGAAGTTTACAGGGTTATGTGTAAAAGATTTCGCTCTTTTTTTTTTGTTTTGTTTAATTAAGGTGCAAAAATGTGAATAGTAGAAGACAAAGTCTAGAACAGAGAGGACTAGATGCAAAATGGTAAAGGCTAGAACAGAGAGCCTAGAACAATATTTCTGGCGCTGGATTGGATGCAAACAGGTCATGGTACAACAGAGAGCCTAGAACAATAGTACTGATGCTGAGTTGCATGCAAACATAAAGATACAGGAGAGTTCTGGAACTGAGTTGGATATAAAGGTACAACACAGAGCCTGAAACGATGGTTCTGAAACTGAATTGGATGTGAACAGGTATAGCAAGAACAGAGAGCCTAGAACAATGGTTTTGGGGATGGATGGGATGCGAACAGGTAAACGCTAGAACAATGAGCCTAGAACAATGGTTTTGAGGATGGATTGGATGTGAACTAATAAATGTTAGAACAGAGATCCTAAATGGTTCTGGGTCTGGATTACACAAGAAATTGTAAAATATAAAACAGAGAGTAATGAATGAAGATTCTGGATTTAAAAGGTTTTTAAAGGGTTACTCCAACTGCCATGGCCAATTTTCAGCTGAAGAGGTCATAATGGTAGGATACTGGATGTGCAGGGTTTCAGCTTGTGACACTGCACATCCAGAGTAATTGGCACTTGCACCGCCCGTAATCTGTTCCGCGGTGCCTAATGTCAATTCTGTGCATAAAAACGGTCTGTCGTCACCGCGCACTGGATGATGGTGACAAAAGTGAAAATCTTCAGGCGCTCAGCCTGCAAGAGGAAGCTAGCACTCCCCTCCCTCACAGCAGGTGGTCGCTCCCTCCTGCCTCCCAGTTTCTTTTGCTTTTTTTTTTTTAATGATCAAAATTCACATTCTCCCTACCATACCCTCTCCTACACCCTCCCTCGCTGGCCTAGATTTCACGCATGCCCTCTCAGCTGGCGAAACGGTCCAATCACAGGCCTCTCTAAGAGAAGCCGGTGATTGAACTGCATGAGCGCCGTGTGAAATTAGGAGGGGACATGGAATATCAGCGGGAGCTTTTCCTGGTTCAGTACTTAGGTAATTAAAACTTTTATTTTTTTAAGATTTGAAAGGGACATAACAATAATGCCGTATAGAGCATATTTAATCAATTACACACATTTTCTTATAAGGGTTGGAGTACCCTTTAAGATATATTTTTATTATCAGGTACGACACTACCTTTATTTGTACATGCTCACAGGCAGCCCAATTTGCCCACTGTGCAATGTGAATGATGTACACACTGTGCAGTAGGTTGATGGAATTACTCATTCTTCCAGCGATGCAGTACTGAGTTTCTCTACTAGGGGAAGAACAGTGCTGGAGCAAAAGGGAAAGTAAGGGGGGGCTTTAAAGGGACATCCCAATGCCTAAATAAAATAAATATATAAAAATCACTGTTAACTAGATACACCCTCAAATGAAAACATTAAATTAGTATTTTTTCATTGAGGATATATATAAAAACTGCTTGCCAAAGCTTCAGATTACTCGTCTGCAGCCTTTGCAATCCCTCCCCTTCTAACTCCGCCCAGACTTTCTGTGGCTGTCCAATCACAGACTTCCCAATGCAGCTCAATGAGAAGTCATTGAAAGGCAGGTGCTCTGGGCAATTGCTGCCTCTTGAGTTTAGCTCCACTGAGCTAACCAAACCAGGAAGTAACATGACCGGTCGTCTGACTGACAGCCGGGGGTGTAAGAAGTTAATATACAAAAAGTACACTTTTCTGTTGAAAATCAACACTTTTTGCAAAATGAAAAAAGAGGACACACTCGTCACACAAAGTTTTTCAGCAAGGGCTAAATACAAAATCAAAGTTGTAAATAGACAGGCTTGGGAGGGAAAGGGTTAATCGTCAATGTCCCTTTTGCCTGTTATAAATGCATGAAGTAGATTCATTAATATATTATTCATTCAGCTCCAACATACTCAGCAGCGCTGTACAATGGGTATTTAAACGGACCACGTAGATCACTAATTATCCCTACACCGTTATGTTAATACAATGACAGTTCAAATCTGGCAAAGCACAAAAAGAAATGCATTTTGCAAACATCTACAGTGCCAAAGTTGGCCATGGCTGGTTTAATGTAATGTGATTTCTTACAGTTAATATAATGCTACTGAGATCCTTATTTTAGGAGAAACCATTTCTGGTGCTTTTCTATAAATATTAGGTTGTTTTATTATCAGATTGTGCGTGGGATGACTCACTGCTTTGGTGTTTTATAGTTATTGCCCTAAATTAGGGGCATCCAAGCATTTACTGCAAGGCATGTAGTGAAGGAATTAATTTAACCCCGCACTGACCATATCATTAAAAGTTATGCTATGATGGGATAGGAGTTGTCTAGGAAGGGGTTAACTAATTCAGAGATAAAAAAAAATATCCATGATTCAATGTGCAATGCTGGCTGTGAGATGCACATCCAAACCTGATATTTGTATTTTATATTCCCACCAGCCTGCTGCTGCCACAATAAAGGAGACCTTCATAAATCCTTAAAGATCAGTTCAGCCCTCCCTTACCATTGGCATTATAGGAGAGGCATTGATGTGCCCCCTGGCAGGGATGTGTTAATAGGCTGGCAGGCATACAGACAGCTACATGAGGAATAATGGAGGGAGCAGTCTGCAATCCCTGGGCTGCCCCCTGACTCTGGCTCCAGATGTCTCCTGCCCCCCTCTCATGCTTGCTGTTGGTGATGGGGGCTGGACCTGCCCCTCTGATTGTCCTCACACTGATCGCACCAATTGGGAAGATCTTCCTGAGGCTGACTGAGCTCAGAGCATCACATCTCATTCAGCTCCAGCACTCACAGCACAGAGACTGCTGGAATTAACACTGCACTCATAGACTGCTGGAATTAACACTGCACCCATAGACTGATGGAATTAACACTGCACTCACTGCATACATACTGCTGGAATTAACACTGCACTCATAGATTGCTGGGATTAACACTGCACTCACTCCATACATACTGCTGGAATTAACACTGCACTCATAGATTGCTGGGATTAACACTGCACTCACTGCATACATACTGCTGGGATTAACACTGCACTCACAAACTGTTGGCATTAACACTGCACTCACTGGATACAGCCAGCTGGGACTAGCACTGCACTTACTGGATATAAGTAGATGGAATTACCACTGCACTCACTGGATACTAACAGCTGGAATTAACAGCACACTTACTGGATACAAAACAGCTGGAACTGAGAAAGCACTCACTGGATACCAACAGGTGAAGTAAACAGTGCACTCAATGGCTACAGACAGCTGGATATAAAAGCACACTCACACGTTACTGACTGTTGGGACTAAGGCTTCACTCACTCACTCACTCACAGGATACAGACAGATGGTTTTAACACTGCTTTCAGTCTGCTGGATTGAATCTTCACTCACTCCGCCTGTTGGATTTAACTTTGCACTTAGTGAACTCGCATAATATGAGTGCAGCAACCCAGCCTGCTGGATTGTAAACGGCAGCCACTCATATCTCTCACTGCACTCACTCAGAATTTTGATTGGCAGCTGTCAATCATTTTGCTCAGTACCTGCACTCAGTATCCAGAACTGCAAGCACACAGCGGAATTCTACCTTGTACTCACCAACTAACACTGGGAGGACACTGCAATCACTCACATTAAGGGTTTGCCCTTTCCCCTCAGCCTTGAGTACACATTCACCCTCCTCCAGACAGGACTGCCCTGTGCTCCCACTCACTCTCCAGACAGGACTGCCCTGTGCTCTCACTCACTCTCCATGTAGGACTGCCCTGTGCTCCCACTCACTCTCCAGACAGGACTGCCCTGTGCTCCCACTCACTCTCCATGTAGGACTGCCCTGTGCTCCCACTCACTCTCCATGTAGGACTGCCCTGTGCTCCCACTCACTCTCCATGTAGGACTGCCCTGTGCTCCCACTCACTCTCTAGACCGGACTGCCCTGTGCTCACACTCACACTCCAGGTAGGGCTGCGCTGTGCTCCCACTCACTCTCCAGGTAGGGCTGCCCTGTGCTCTCTCTCACTCTCCAGGTAGGGCTGCCCTGTGCTCCCACTCACTCTACAGGTAGGGCTGCCCTGTGCTCCCACTCACTCTCCAGGTAGGGCTGCCCTGTGCTCTCACTCACTTTCCAGGTAGGGCTGCCCTGTGCTCCCACTCACACTCCATGTAGGACTGCCCTGGGCTCCCACTCACACTCCAGGTAGGGCTGCGCTGTGCTCCCACTCACTCTCCAGACAGGGCTGCCCTGTGCTCTCACTCATTCTCCAGGTAGGGTTGCCCTGTACTCCCATTCAACCAGGTTTCCATAGAGAGCTACTGTGATGAAGATGCTGATGATGCTGGTGACATCTCCTGCGTGCTCACCTCATTCCATGGCAAGCCGTGGTGGCTGAAGGTGCTGTGTGTGGATGAGCCTTTCTCCTGAAGCTGGCAGAGTCCATGTGAGGAGCAGTGAGTGTGCACTGTGGGGTCCCAGCTCTTGGCTTCAGTTCAGCTCCTCCCCATGTGGGGGCTCACTTGATCACATCTTGGAACCTGTGCACTTTCACTGAAAAGCTCTTTTTTTTAATAATAAAAAAGGATTTAGCTGCAGATGAGACTGAGGAGGAGACTGAGAGTCTGTGCTGAGCTCCAGGCTGGGGAGAAGATCACCCAACCAAGAATGGAGAGGAGGATGGGATTGTGCTCCTCCAGGATGCTGGCTTCTCTATGGATCTGTTTTCTTCTCTGCTCCTCCACCAGCGGGGACATCTCCTGCAGGCATTGTCACACCCGGGTCCAGCCGAGAGATCCTGGATTAATGAGCCCATTGAGTGGGGGGGACCAGGGGAGGGGAATTAGAGAAGTTCTGCAGAACTACATTGGGGCTGATGGGGCTGAATCACAGAGCACTGAGGTGGACCCACGACCATCTGGGGTCATTAAGATGCATCTTCTCAGTGAGCACCAGCAGCAGTCAAAAAGAGGGATCAGCAGTCTCCTGGGGGTCCAAAAAACTTCTCACCATAGTGGAGCAGATGACATTGCCAGGAGGTTCCCCAAATCAAAATTAGGACCTGTGGGAAGGGAGAGCCAACAAGGCAAAGTGACAGTGAGCAGGGTGAAGAGAGAACAGGCTGGGGAGAGGGTCTTCATGACGCCTTCTGACCCCAGCCAGGAGGACCCTCTGACCAGTTATCCCATGGAAGGACAGAAGGTCAAAAGGTCTGATGGAAAAGGCTCCAGAGATGAAGGGAGGTTAAACAGAGCCAGGACAGAGGAACTTCGCCTCAGTAGTACCAGCTTCGCTCTGACTGGAGATTCTGCCCACAATCAAGCCATGGTCCACTGGACAGGGGGAGCCAACAGCAGTGTGAGTATCACAGCATGCAGTGTGACCTGGGTGTGAATGTCCAGCATTAGCTGTGAGCAGAGTGTGACTATCTGTCATGCACTATGAACTTTATACCTCAGATTATCCCTCATGCCATCACTTCTCAGTGTAAGGTCATGTCTTTGTACTGTGAACTGAGTAGGACTCAAAACTTCTCAGTGTGGTTCCCTCACTTTTTGGTAAGTGGGAGGTTGGCCTGCACTGAACTGTTCTGTAAGATTGCATAGCTTAACTCTGAGCTGAATGTGAGACAGCATGACTGCACTGTATGGTGAGTGTGAGATTCCATGACTGCACTGTATGGTGAGTGTGAGATTCCATGACTGCACTGTATGGTGAGTGTGAGATTCCGTGACAGCACTGTATACTGTGTGTGAGACAGCATAACTGCACTGTATACTGAGTGTGAGACAGCATGACTGCACTGTATGGTGAGTGTGAGATTCCATGACTGCACTGTATGGTGAGTGTGAGATTCCATGACAGCACTGTATACTGTGTGTGAGACAGCATGACTGCACTGTATACTGAGTGTGAGACAGCATGACTGCACTGTATGGTGAGTGTGAGATTCCATGACTGCACTGTATATTGAGTGTGACGTTCCATGACTGCACTGTATACTGAGTGTGAGATTCAGTGACTGCACTGTATGGTGAGTGTGAGATTCCATAACTGCACTGTATAATGAGTGTGAGATTCAATGATTGCGTTGTATACTGAGTGTGAGATTCCTTGACTGCACTGTATACTGAGTGTGAAATTCCATAACTGCTCTGTATATTGAATGTTAGACAACATGACTGCTCTGTATACTGAGTGTGAAATTCCATGACTGCTCTGTATACTGAGTTCTAAATTTAGTATGAAGTTACTTTACTCCACTGTATGCGAAGTGTGAGGTTACATTGCTGAACTGTGAGCTGAGTGTGAGGTTACATTGCTGCACTGTAAGCTTAGTGTGAGGTTACATTGCTGCACTGTGAGCTGAGTGTGAGGTTACATTGTTGGACTGTGAGCCGAGTGTGAGGTTACATTGTTGGACTGTGAGCCGAGTGTGAGGTTACATTGTTGGACTGTGAGCTGAGTGTGAGGTTACATTGTTTTACTGTGTGCTGAGTGTGAGGTTACAATATTGGACTGTGAGCTGAGTGTGAGGTTACATTGTAGTACTGTGAGCTGAGTGTGAGGTTACATTGTTGGACTGTGAGCTGAGTGTGAGGTTACATTGTTGTACTGTGAGCTGAGTGTGAGGTTACATTGTTGGACTGTGAGCTGAGTGTGAGGTTACATTGTTGCACTGTGAGCTAAGTGTGAGGTTACTTTGTTGGGCTGTGTGCTGAGTGTGAGGTTACATTGTTGCACTGTGAGCTGAGTGTGAGGTTACATTGTTGCACTGTGAGCTGAGTGTGAGGTTACATTGTTGCACTGTGAGCTGAGTGTGAGGTTACATTGTTGTACTGTGAGCTGAGTGTGAGGTTACATTGTTGTACTGTGAGCTGAGTGTGAGGTTACATTGTTGCACTGTGAGCTGAGTCTGAGGTTACATTGTTGCACTGTGAGCTGAGTGTGAGGTTACATTGTTGCACTGTGTGCTGAGTGTGAGGTTACATTGCTGCACTGTGAGCTGAGTGTGAGGTTACATTGTTGCACTGTGTGCTGAGTGTGAGGTTACATTGCTGCACTGTGAACTAAGTGTGAGGTTACATTGTTGGGCTGTGTGCTGAGTGTAAGGTTACATTGTTGCACTGTGTGCTGAGTGTAAGGTTACATTGTTGCACTGTGTGCTGAGTGTGAGGTTACATTGCTGCACTGTGAGCTGAGTGTGAGGTTACATTGTTGCACTGTGAGCTAAGTATGAGGTTACATTGTTGCACTGTGTGCTGAGTGTGAGGTTACATTGTTGCACTGTGAGCTGAGTGTGAGGTTACATTGTTGCACTGTGAGCTGAGTGTGAGGTTACATTGTTGTACTGTGAGCTGAGTGTGAGGTTACATTGTTGGACTGTGAGCTGAGTCTGAGGTTACATTGATGAACTATGAGCTGAGTGTGAGGTTACATTGTTGGACCGTGAGCTGAGTGTGAGGTTACATTGTGGCACTCTGAGCTGAGTGGGAGGTTACATTGTTGGACTGCGAGTTGAGTGTGAGGTTACATTATTGCACTGTAGGCTGAGTGTGAGGTTACAGTGTGGCACTGTGAGCTGAGTGTGAGGTTTCATTGTTGCACTGTGTGCTGAGTGTGAGGCTACATTGTTTGACTGTGAGCTGAGTGTGAGGTTACATTGCTGCACTGTGAGCTGAGTGTGAGGTTACATTGTTCGACTGCGAGTTGAGTATGAGGTTACATTATTGCACTGTAGGCTGAGTGTGAGGTTACAGTGTGGCACTGTGAGCTGAGTGTGAGGTTACATTGTTGAACTGTGTGCTGAGTGTGAGGTTACATTGTTGCACTGTGAGCTGAGTGTGAGGTTACATTGATGAACTGTGAGCTGAGTGTGAGGTTTCATTGTTGCACTGTGAGCTGAGTGTGAGGTTACATTGTGGCACTGTGAGCTGAGTGTGAGGTTACATTGTTGCACTGTGAGCTGTGTGTGAGGTTACATTGGTGCACTGTGAGCTGAGTGTGAGGTTACATTGTTTGACTGTGAGCTGAGTGTGAGGTTACATTGTTGCACTGTGAGCTGAGTGTGAGGTTACATTGTTGCACTGTGAGCTGTGTGTGAGGTTACATTGTTTGACTGTGAGCTGAGTGTGAGGTTACATTGTTTGACTGTGAGCTGAGTGTGAGGTTACAGTGTGGCACTGTGAGCTGAGTGTGAGGTTACATTGTGGCACTGTGTGCTGAGTGTGAGGTTACAGTATCATAGTGTGAGTGAATCCAGATTGTCAGTGTGTTCCTGAGTGTGAGCTCACATTGCAGCCAGCTCTGAATGAGTCCTGAATCTGAGTCTTGTTTTGATTCCCCCATAGAGATGGTACTTGCTCAGGGAAAGTCTTTCTGGCTACAGAAATGCAATGAGTCAGCCTGGCACCTCTATAGCTGCTGTTTTACAGGACTGATACAGATAGATATTATCTTTATCTAATTTCATTCTGGAATAAAAGGCCAAGTTTCTGCCACAGTTCACATTCAATAAAAGTCTTCATTTTGGCAGAACCAGCTCTTTTTCTCTCTCGGATCTGGAAACTGGTCAGTTATAAAATGGATCCGACAAATGGGTGACATAATATAATCATTGCCAAGTGCTACCTCTAAGCACCATGGCGCCCCTAGCTACAAGGGGACCTGGTGTAAATTAGCAAAACTTCAGAGGGACAAAAGAGCTGTTTTAGAACTACAGTTACCATGATGCTTTTCCGGCCTAGAGTTCTGCAGTTCTAAATATTTGGGGATCATACCTGTTGGCTGGAACCCATAGCGAGAGAGTTTACTCCATTGGGATTCTGAGAGGGTTAAATCCCTATCTGCCCTTTAGATATTCACATCACATGTCTAATTGTTGACCATTGCACAACACATATAGCAACCCATCATGTTCTAATAGTCATAATGCATCACATTATCCAATACAGACAGTGTGCTCTGACTGCTGATGGTATGCCACAAGACAGTAGCTGCTGGTTTATACCAAACCCAGGCACACAACAGCCTCCTACCAGCTCCTACAGTCAGGGCATATCCAAAGGCTGGGGTGACCAGAGCTTAGTCTAGTGAGGCTAAACTGTGACATTGGAAGCATGAATAGCCAGCTCTTGGGTCCACAGTGCTTTGCTGATGGAAGCACTTTAACCGTGCCACCGAAGCTTACAAACTAAATCAATAACTTAATTGTATTTTCTTTATTATATAATTCATCAGTACAATCATAAAAGTTCGTATTTTTTAATCATGTCAAACTATGGCTGGGCTTCAAATTAAACAGTCAATGTACCAATATTTGTTCCAATCATATATTATATTTTAAATACAGTCTCACCTAAAAAGATTAACTGATTGTGAGATAGATAGATAGATGGTAGATATATAGATAGATAGATAGATAGATGATAAATACGTTTTAAACATCTGTTACAAATAAGATCACATTTAACACTTCCATATCTTGGATGGTTGACAGTTGTTTACTAGATGGGCACTAGGTGGTGCTCTTGAAACCCTTTTCAAACAAATGTTACCAGTGTCTGTGTGGCTGAGATATTGCTGCAACTGCTCTGGTTATTAATGTGGGTGATGTAACTGGTAGCAGTAAATTCATTAAATAAACATTTCACCGTTTATTAGTGCACAGTTTAGGAAAATGTTTGTGTATTATTCATATTTAACTTGTTCATTATCACAGGCGTCCAATCCGTAAAGTAGAGTTTGCATTACTCGGATGGTTTGTTGATGGTCTGTTGAAGGGTTAATGTAAGGTTTATGATAACAACATAATACTGAGAGCCAATGGTTCAGGTTCGGAGTATTTGGATAGAATGTTAGTGCTTTATTATCATTTTAGCACTTATATAATATAAATATATCCCCTCGCTGTATCTTTTCCTTATTCTAAGTCCTCTTTCCTTTTGCCATTTACGTTTCTCTTTCCCTTTTGATCTGTTCATTAATTTAGGATTATCCATCCTTTAATTTAGAACCCCCCTTGTCCTGCACCAGTTACAGTTATATATCTGGTCCATAATCTCTGTTCTTCTCTCTTTATCTGCACCAGATCCATCTCTCACTTCCTCTATATCGATACATTAAATTCTGAAACCTTCTCTCGTTCCTTGACTCCGATACATTTCTCTCCTTTGCAATCTTCTATTTCATCTAGAACCGTCTCTATCCTGCGCTAATTACATTTTTCTCTTCATCTACATCCATATCTGAATCTAGGTAGGACCTTCTCCTGTTACATCTATACCTCTCCCTCTTTATCTAGAGCCTTCTCTCTTTCCCTACCATAGATACATCTCTCCCGCTATATCTGTAATTTAAAGGGACACATTAAACACCATAACCACTTAATTTTA